AATTACAGCATATTTGTCTGCTTGCCAAAATTTTGTAACTCTAATTGTAAAACAGAAGGCACACTCACTTTAAAACAAATACTTCTTTAACTGCCTGACACTGTTTATTGTTTATTTCTTGGTAGCAACAAAAAAAGTTGTAATTAGCACCCTTTAGCCACATACATTTCAAGCTTGTTACTGGAAATGAGAAAGCTGAACACAGAATTATTGGTATGTTTCATGAAAGAATCCTTGGTTGTATATTCTCTCCCCCCCCCCCCAATGTTTATTATAAACAACAAAACATAAATACAACATAGTCAAACATGTACCAATCAAGCTCATTATTTTATTAAATTGTGAATGTATCTATAATGACTAAAACAAATGTATAAGAATTATGAATATTTTGTGTTCAAGCTGTGACTATTTGAGGCATTCCTAAAGTCAAGTACTAGCTCTTTTAAGAATGTTATAGTAATTGTGTCCATTTAAGTTTTCATTAACATTTCTTTGATTTAATAATAATGCTGACCCAATAATTTCTAGTAAACAGTATTTGTAACACATATAGGCATGTTCTTCAGATATTTTATGTGGGAACCTAAATATGTAAGCATGAATGTAACCAATACTTGAGCAAATATAGAAGTATATTAGGGCACTTCTTTGAATGTACACATGCTTGAAATTGTCCTTAGCTCTGTACTGATGACATGTCCATACACTGAGTGACTGCATGGGGGTCAGGAGCATGCATGAATACGTTGGCAGATGATTCAGCAATTGCAAGTGGCAAGGGGCAGAGCCCACACACTCATGCTCACTCTCCCTCCCCTCACCATCAGTCAATATGTGGACATGTCTGTGCAGGGCTGTTATGTAGTATACACATGTGGCTACATTAATGCTAACAAGATCACATCAGCTTTACAGATAGATGTTATCAGCATTATGAATAGTTTGAAGAGTGTGTAGCATAGGATTAGCCCTTATCATCTGAGATTTGGGTGTCCTGGCAAGTGTTTTTTTTTACAGCAAGGTGCACTGATTGGCTCAAGAGTTAATCACTATATTAAGCTCTACTGGCCAGACTGGACAGTTGTTACACCACCTCTAACACCCAGGCTGATAGATCATAGGATGTTGACTGTGCCCTATTCCTTCCCAAACATGCTCCTGGGACCCCCATTTCTGGTGCTACACTATTTTTGCACTGTCGTAGTTGTGCCAGCATTGGGTGTACACTGGCAAGACATTGTGCCAGTGTATCTCCAGATATGCCAGCTTTGGAGCTTTGTTACCATCCTGAGATGCTCCCAAATGGCCTTAGGATTTCAGCTGAAATTTTAGTGATAAATCCTCTCAGTGATATTTGAGAGTCACTGTGCTCCTGTTCAGCTTTGTACCTAATGTTGCTATTTTTGCAATAATTGCTAATTTTATAGCTAGACGCTCCCATTATTCTCTCTTCTTGTGTCCATTCTTCTTTCTGTCAGTGGTTGTTTTTCACACCTGCAAATACAGATCCTAGGTGGTTGATGGATGTATCTTCCATCTATGCAATATCTACAGCCTTTAGAGGAACAATAACCTTCTTTTCTCAAATCCTTCACTCTGATCAGGTGTCACTTCAGGCAGACTTACAAAGTTGACCTTACATTACTAGGATGGTGGTAGGACTGAACTTTCCCATCACATGGATTGGGTCATTAGTCCAGGTTAAGCATCTGTCATGGATCTAATTCTCCAGAAGCATGCAGTACCCATGCCATTAATTAAGTTCTGCTGGGCTAGATGAGAACTAAACCTTAGATTGTAACCAGCTGTTCACTTCTCAGAAGCCATTATTTGTTAAATAAATTCATGTTCTTATCCAGTTTGTGTTCAGAACAAACTTGTAGCATGTAGTAAAAAATTGCTGGGAAATAATCCCATTTAAAATACAAAGAAAATGCTATTAGTCAGGCAGCTATTCATATTATAGAAGAATCTGCATGCAGAAATGCAATATGAATTTGACATATTTGATTCAGATTCTCCCTTAACTGATAAACTAAACTGATAAAAGATTTTTTAATGTGTGACTCCCCAACATTTTGGTCATCCCTGTATTAAATTCCTCTAACAGAGTAGGTATAAAAGTGAACTATTGCTTTGTAAATCGGACTATTTTAGCTTACATATGTTGTTATTTGGTTCTTAGCAAAAAAAACAAAGGGGGGGGGAGCATTTATATTATGGTCTGACAGAAAATTAAGTTTGGTAAATGCCAAAAGTTGGCAGTGAACTCGCCTGGTTCTGTCAAATGCTTAGATTTTGTATCGTGTGATTGACAAAAAAAAGCTCCCAAAATGCCTGTCCTTAATAGTGCTTTTCTTTTTTTACTGAAAAAAAAGTATTTGGCTAGAATATGCAAGTTCCCTTGCAATTATTTTAACAGATGTTTTGTATAGGCAAATTACTCTGAAGCTGAATAGATGACCCTGCAGCAGCATCTCCCATGCAGAGGGACAGAACAAGGAAAGTTTTCTGTTCACTTTTCTGTTAATGAGCATGCTTTGTCTCTTAGACGCTTACTTCTTGTAGTTTCCCAATGTTGATTTCTAGTTCCTGACTTCTAACCCTGCCAATTGGCCAATGACTTTGACACAGAACACCATAGAAACTGCAAGAGGAAGCGAAGTACAACATTCTGCTAATATATTCTGTAGAATTTATTAGCTGAAAAATAATATTTGACATTGGTTTTGGGTCACATGGAAGTAACTGCAGACAGAAGTTTAAAAGGCAAGCCTGAACTGTTCTTTTTCTGGTAGGATGAGAAACCTTAGTGTACAATGAGACATGATAATTAGCTTGCTAAGACTAATAGTGTTCTGTTTCAGGGTAGTGGCACAAGATATATAGGTGTTTGTTTATTAACAATGTATTTCATTCTTGGGCGGCAGTTTTAGAAACCTGCTGCTGAATGTTTTGTGACAGGAAACCTTTGCCAGAGGATGATAGCTTCAATGCCCTGTGTTTCTTTTTAACGTGTGGTGGTATTTGTAATCCAAATTATCCCTGTAGTCCTGCTAGGCAACTCTTATTTTCTTTTTCATTCATTTTCTCCCCTTGTGTGTATTGTTTTGTTTTTTATTTCACTCACCATGATTTCCTCACGTGGAGTAAGATATTTAAATACAGGTTGGATTTGGCAGAAAACGTAGGCGTGAAACGATCAATGTAAGATGGCTATTAGTAGGAAAACATTCACATACGTATAGGGTTTTAGCTTCCATTTGTTCCCTTTTACTGTTTTGATTCAAATTTTAAATCACTTTATCACAACATTCCATATATGCAGAGGCACTTTAAGCCAAGTATCAGTTCACCTTGGCTGATAAGAATAGGTATAGGGACAACATAAACTCTATTTTCTGCTAAGAGCTTGACTGTGACTTTCGATGCCTCCTTATCAATGGAGGCCCATGTCACACATATTACCAAGCTGGCATTTTTTCATCTTTGCCAAGCTCGGCAACTGGCTCCTTTCTCGCTGCACCCTGATCTAGCCACAGTAATCCATGCAATGGTCACCTCCAGGATAGACTACTGTAACTCACTCTACACTGGCCTGCCCTTGAGACTGACCCGGAAACTCCAGCTGATCCAGAATGTGGCAGTGTGAGTCCTGATGGGAACGTCACAGATGACACATATTTGACCTGTACTGCACCAGCTAACACTGGCTTCCAGTGGAATACCAAGTCAGGTTCAAGGTGTTGATATTGACCTTTAAGGCCTTGAGTGGTCTGGGACCAACGTATCTACGAGACTGTCTCTCCTCTGGTATGTCACCGGGAGAGCCTTGTGCTTTACTGACAACAATCTGCTGGTGATCCCCAACCCTAGGGGTGTCTGACTGTCCTCAATCAGGGCCAGGGCCTTCTTGGTCCTGGCCCCAACCTGGTGGAACTCTCTGCCAAATGACATCAGGGCCCTGAGGAATTGTGTTCCACAGGGCACGTAAGGCAGAAATGTTCTGCCAGGCTTTTGGTTGAGGGCAGCAATGGTTTTTCCTTAGCTGGCACCCTCCCTTCCCTTTCCCCCTTCTGAATTGCTGTTATGAGTTCCTTCTCCCCCTGCCCAGAAACTGGCCTGGTAGTTCAGAACTGGGGTAGAAATTTCCAGGATTCCAGGATTACGGACTTTATTTGGGTTTTTAGGGTTTTTTTAACTGTTGAATGTTAATGTTTTATATGTTTTTACAGCACTTTACCCTTATGTACATCACCCAGAGTCCAGTGTAAGCTGGGATAGGGTGATTAATAAATTTAATTAAATAAATAAATAATGTAGGCGTTTTAGGGATGTCCTGAGGAAGGTATTTTTGCCAGAGCCCTGATTTTGTGTGCCTACAAGGTTAAATAGGACAACTGTAAACCAAGTACCCCCAGTATATAAACCTGAACCTTAAAACATCCTGGATGATGGGGGAGGTTCACATTGCCAGTCCTTACCAAACACAATGCCTGTTTCCCAGTTAGCAGTGAAATGAGCTGGATACCTCTGTTTAATGCTCAGAAAACATATTTAAGGAGAATCCAGGAATCTGGGTTTTGAATGGTGAATGCCTTTTGATTAAGCCTAATATCTGTAGCAGGAGACTCCCAAGAGTATGTAGGACTTCAAGTAAGAAACTAAAAGGATAGGTAAGCCCAGCTTGGTCCTACTGTGGATACAGATTGTATTTTAAGTTCAGAAAAATATCTTGGCTCTATGAAAATGATGATTAATTTTTATATTACTGAGTTAGCATAAGAGAAATAAGAATAATGGATTGTTTGGATTAATGAATAATGCAAGAAAGAACTGAGCAATCTTTGTGTCCATAGAGAATCCAGTTATTCAGTTAAATTAAGATATTAGTTACATATATTTTTAATGTGCTTCCTTTTCTTATGGTACATTCCACATGGCATGGTTGCAATGATTTTGTTTCCAATAATCTGTATTTCTCTTCTTTCATCAAGGGTCGTAAGAATGAGGCCGAGAAATATTTTTTGAAGGCAATTCAACTGGATCCAACCAAGGGAAATTGTTACATGCATTATGGTATGTTTTCAATAAATATTGCTTACTTTCATATTCTAGTTTGCTGTTACTCTCTGAGTGATCAAGGAAGAGTTAGATCAGTGATTAAAAAACTGCTATTAGCAGGATATTACTGTAAAGGGAAAACTTAAACATGCCAGAGAAAACTGCTTATCCATTCCAATGTGTAAATCAAAAGGCCCATTTCCTTTAGAAAATGGTCTTGGTTTCAAATTAAAGTTCAAGATTGTTGGCACACTTGATTGGAAAAGGAGGGAAATAAATACTTCATATGTGCTGAAAGGTTCATGGCCCTCTTTATTAGTGTTGAGCTAAAGATATTAGCACTACTTGATGCTGGGTGGGCCAATGGACATTATTCCACAGTAGCATCAGTCCAGGACATCCAAAGTTCTACTTGCAAGTATTTTAAACTATAAATATTACCATTCCCACCATCAGATATTTACAACTGTCAGTTTTGAAAGCATTGATCACCTATATGGAGAAAGGACAATTTTTTTTTTCTGTTCCATGAGTACAGAGTCAGGCATATAGCCTACAACTGTGCATGAAAGTCCCTGAACAGATGTTCCAACCGTAGAAACAAAAGCAGAATGTGTACATGTTGGGATGGTAGTCCATGAATATAAACAAGTTTTTACATACAGTGCATTGCTTGATTTTTCAAGGTTGAAATCTCCATTGTTAATAATCTGTTTAAATAAAGCCAATGTAATACAGTGAGGGTCGGTTTCATTTTTATGTCGGATTTTAAAAATCTTTTATAGACGTGATCCTAAATGGATGCTTTGCCATTGCCTTTTTATACTAATTCTCATGCAGTGACAGAAAATTCAGAAATTAATTATAAAGCCTACTGTTGAAAAAATACAAGAAGAGGGAATTAATTTAATTGGAGGAAAATCAGCTGTTGTGCAGTATATTTGTGGATAGCAATTTAATTGCACTTTCTTGTTCCAACTCTGGTATAAGTAAATGAGCAGTAGGCATATTTTTAGAAAGTGGAAATAGTACAAAACAAGATATATTAAGCAGTTACAGCATAACTTGTCTGTACTTTGTGTAGATGTATAACTTTATAGGCCTAATCCAGCTCTAGGCCAGCAGTTCAGATGGACATGTTGGGTATATCCATCACATTCAACAAGGGCCAATGACCATCTCCAGATGGTCACATATCCAGATTTCTGACTGCTGCTGTACTAGTGTACACAGATCATTAGTTTTGGATCAGCAATGTGCCTTTTGGTCAGTGCAGGACACTTTTGATAGAATAGTGTTCAGGTTCCATCCCTGTAAAAAATAGTACTACAAAGTATGTGTGAAATCAGGAGATGTTTTCCACTGGGAGAATGCCAGAACTTTAAATAGTTTCTGAAGAGAGGCAACAGCTTTAGATGGAGGATAACTTTATTTTGTTTTCATGCAATGTTTCCTATGTGTTAGAGCTCGGATTGTATAGAAGGATAGTCCTTTGTTGGTTTGCTTTTATGATGGTTTCATTTTAATTGTTGTTCTGAGACTGGTAGTTCTCAAACTGTGAGTCGGGACCCCAAAGTGGATCACAACTGTTACAGATTTGTCATGAGACCATAAGGAAGACATAGAAAAGGGTGAGTGGAGAGAGAGGGTTCTGACAGGCTTGTTGGGAAGGTTTAAAAATCCAGCTTCTCCAAAATAGAAGTACTCAATAGGAAACAAAAAAAAGATGTTCTAAATAATACTCTTGTTATTAATAACCATTGAGACTTGAAGTTAATTTCCTTTGAATAATACATTTTCCTAATAATTGTAAATCACTTAATGATTCTGTTTTTATAATAAAATTGATTATTCACATTAAATTACTGTAATTATGCACTCACTTGAAGTAATTTACAACTGATCATGTAGCATGCTGTTCTCTGTAGCCTAACCTGCAGAGTTCTTGTTGGTTAATGTTTTTAATTTCTTTCTTTGTTCACTCTGGTTAATATAGCATGCAGTTAATAAATCACAATACATATCAGTTTGTTATTGCAACTAGAATTCTATAAGGGAGTCCTGCAGTGCTAAAAGGGTTTTTGGCATCACTTTTTTGTTTCCCATCTTCTATATATATAAAAGAAAGTCCTCTCATCATAAAATCAACGCCCAGGCCAAACCGCTGGACCTAGAGATACCAAATTTGGAGAGAGCACTCCTACTGTGGCATAGGTGCTCGCTAAGAAGGGATTTTTTAGAAATTTGACTCCTAAGTGGGTCAAAAGGGGGGGAATTGCTCCCCCCATTGATTCCTATGCGACTGCCAGGCAGCTGCCTCTCTGCACCCACCACTCTCTGATTGGTCAGCTGCAGAGCTCAGTGTTCTGAGGTAAAAAAAAACAACCCAACAGTTACAGGGGACTGCACAGAGCTAATGACAGTTGAGGAAATCAGGAGTGGCCAACAACCACCTGTGAGGTGAAGCAAAGCTGCTGGCCTAGCCTCTCTGATGGCTTCCATCACACTCCCCCCACCTCCTACACCTAACAGGCAGTTTTCTGTCAGGTGCAGCCACACCTCCACAGTGGCTTCTAATACTCCTCCCTCCTCCCTGTCCTACACTGGACAGGCAGCTGCCTGTCAGGTGTAGGAGAGGAGGTGGGATGCTTACAGCCGCCGGGGAGGTTTGCTCAGGAGGATTGGCCTAGCACTGCTGCTGGCCCAGCCTCCCCGATGTCCACCACATCACCACTCCCTCACACCAACTCCCCCTCTCACCTCTTACTGCCCCCAAGAAAGCTCCTGGCAAATGTCGAGCTAGATACACCAACGCTGCAAGGAGGAGGCAACTTAGGAATGCGGCAAAGACATTTGCACATAGTACTCTTGCAGTGCACTGAGCTGCACAGGCCAAGTACCAGCAAGATCACCCTGAGGTGCTCAGAACAACACAGTCTCCATATGAGCAAAACAATCCAGGAACACAAGTAGAGAGGCCATCACTTTTGTGGCAGGTAGCAGGAGTTGACTTAACAGATGACTACTTCTTAAATGGACAGTTCTATGTGGCCTGCTCCAGAGTGAGCTCATCAAGCAGCCTGGTGATCCCAGCACCTGAGGGCAGAACCACCAATGTGGTCTAGAGAGAGGTCCTTCAGTTGAGAGGGGGGAAAGTATATATGTCTCACTTCATTTCCTACACTATGACAAATGTCACATTTCAGACTTCACATAATCAGTATTATAACTGGATTTATGGAACTTAAATACCGTAGCGAAGCACAGGTATCGTGCTAGTTTTTAAAATAAAATAGAGTAAAAATTTTCAAAGCACTAGGAATAATAATTGGCTGTTTGATAGATGACCCAGTAAATCGTTCTGTGATATGGGTTTCTGTTGTTATTGTTGATGATGATTATTACAGCTATTAAAATGTTAATTATACTACAAAGATCTTAGTTTAGCTTGGTGGTTCTTACAGAAAATTTCTGTACCCTGTACAACTTGGTGGGAGTGTCCATGTTGATTGTCTTTGAGTCCTCAGCAGCTTTTGATACTGTTGACAGTTCCATAATTCTGGGTCACCTGAATTATGTCACTGCTTTCTGGTAGTGTAATCACAGAGTACTGGATTTGTACCAGAATTCAGATTCTACTGCGACATGAAACTTGTATAATGAATTTATGCCACGATCAACTATATGGTCTGAACTTAGGAGTCAATGAGGACTTAGATTTATTAGGCACTGAGAGAAACTTGGGGATAAGCCAACTGTCCTCAAAAGAGATGGCTGGCACTTGAGCCAACATGAACCTGGCTCTTTGCTTTTGATGACTAAGAAGTTACTGAGCAGTAGACTGACTTCTTGGAGAAATCTGACAGGAACTAGGAAGCATCCCTAATAGACGCAGGTGTAAATGTTCCAGTCAATCTAAAAGAGAACAGGCTGGAAGAATGTGACATCAGAAATAATGAAGGTAAGGCTAATCTTGTAAAGACATCAAAGTGTTCAAGGAGAAAATGGATGCTTGGTAACAAAAATAAGACATAAGTATTTATATGCAAGATGGTAAAATGTAGTTTGGATCCTATGACTGATAGGTAGCTCTGTAACTGGTTGACAGATCACACCCAAAGAGTGCTTGTTAATGGTTCCTCATCCTCTTGGAGAGGAGTGACAAGTGGAGTGCCTCAAGGATCTGTCCTGGGACCTGTTTTGTTCAACAGCTTTATAAATGATTTGGTTGAAGGGATAGAGGGAATGCTTATTAAATTTGCAGATCTAGGGGTCTTAGTAGAACATACACTGAAAATGAGTCAGCAGTGTGATGCGGTTGATAAAAAGGAAAACAGATCAGAGAGGCAACCAAAGGAGAGAATATAAGAACTTATCCTCACATTGACAAGTGCATGTGCAGGTTGGTTAGAATGAAACATAATGTCTAGATATTATAAACAACTCACTTTGGAGTCATCAAACTGACAGGGGAGGCAAGGTATAATCATACATATAAATATAACCTCATTGACTGCTACCAGTTGAAGTCAATGAGCTTACCATGGTGTAACTCTGCTTATGATTATGCTGCTAATGCTGACTGGTTCCCCGGTCCTAGTAAAAGATGTATGTGTCGAACCACCTGGAAAGAGTTACTATAGGACTGTTAAATTCCCATCAATATAAATGGAAATATGCTCATAAAGTCCGGCCCTGCTGCACTTGATTTTAAAAGAAGAAATGCCTCAAAAACATTAGTTGAAAGGAAGAATAAAGAGAGTAATATCTTCTAAGGATACTGGGAAGTCATTTAAAAACCATGATTTGATGCCTGGGTAGAATGTAGAGCTCCCGTTTCTAGTTCCTGCTCCTGCCACCCTAGCAGTTCGAAAGCAAGAAATTGCAAGTAGATGAATAGGTACCACTTCAGTGGGAAGGTAACAGCGTTCCGTGCGCCTTGGTGTTTAGTCATGTCGGCCACATGACCACGGAAACATCTTCGGACAGCGCTGGCTCTTCAGCTTTGAAACAGAGATGAGCACCGCAACCCTAGAGTCAGATTCGACTGGCTTTCGAGCAAGGGAACCTTTACCTTTACCTTTAGAATGTATAACACATATCACCAATACCAGTATAGTTAATATGATGGCATTGTGGCCCTGTGCAGGATACATGTGTACAACAATCTTAATAAGCTAAGTAGATCCAAGTATAGTGACTGTCCTAACGGGACACATCCCATTTAGAATACTATGTATGTCACCTTAAGTTCCGTGATGGAAGATAGTCAAGATATAAATTTAATAAAAAGCAATCGAGCAATTAAAGAGAAGAGACAGTTCATAAAGTAAAGGCAGCTCCCTTTAAAAATTGGAAGCCTATTGAGGAGAACAAGAGCTCTGGCAAAACAAATGTAAATTAACGATAAGGTAGTGAAATGAGACATTGTGTAGCACACTACCAAAATCATTGAAAGGAACAAATATGAAAGCTGTAGACAAATTACGAAGTAACCAATTACCAGGTTCACATGGTATACCTGTGGGCTCTTAAAAATTCAAACATGAAGTCATTCATGTTTGGACTTGAGAAAAGGTTTTGACAAAGTCTCTTACCCAAAGAATTAGCAGTCATGGGATAAATTTGCTGCTAGATTAGTAATGTGTTAAGCAACAGGAAACAATAGATGGATTATTCACTTAACAGAGGCAAGTAAGTAGTGGAAAGTAAGATCCCTAAGAACCTATGTCAAGACTAGAGCTATTTAACTTGTGACAACATGGAAATGGTTTATAAAATTATATATGATTGAAAGAAAGCCAATAATGAACTTATTTTGCTTTCATAATACTAGAATCTAGGGTTACAGAATGAAGATATTTGATGGGTGATGGTTTCATTCAGATTTCTCTATGCAATACTAATATTTATGGAGATCATAGCCACAGTGTTTAGTAATGGCTGCAAGCATTTTCTTTGACAATAGCAGAATAGAACAATATCATAGATAGCAGGGAAGAATTAGAATAAAATATTATTTTGTTAATTTCACTCCTATATACAAATTTCAGTTTTCTTTTCAATGCACCTAAAGGTCAAATTGATAATATATATTGTAATGTACCAAATCAGGCAAGGGGTGCAGATGGGAAATGAAACACTTTTAAAAGAGGGGGGAGATAATTTCCTCCTTTTTCTTCTGGCAGCTGATGGTATGGTTGATGAAGCATCCAAGGTTTTTCATTTCTGTGCCTTAGTTTCAGTTTTGCTCAACACTCACACCAGATTATGAAAAAATACTTTTTGTTTGGGCAAGGGTTAAAATGTGTGCATCTTCTGCAGGGTGGTGCACTGTTATGTTTGTAAGCCACTGTGCAGTTTGTCAGAACCAAAAACTGAAAGAAAAATTTCAATATGTAAATAATAAATTTATTTATTTATTTATTTATTTTATTCAATTTATACCCCGCCCTCCCCGCTACGCGGGCTCAGGGCGGCTTACAGGAGGCATAAGCCAATATAAAACATATTTAAAACCATTTAAAAATCACTACAATACAATAACATTAATTAACAAAGGTGCTCTAGATATTTTAACATGGTGTTACAAGATGGTGTATCTCACCTGCTCTGTTGCAACTGCTCTCCCTACTCAGCATCATCTGCTCCGGGAAACACTGTTGTTCCCTCTTCCAGTGCCAGGTTAAGATGGAACAGTAGTGATGGTAGTGGCGGCTCCTACTCATACGCCTGGTGGAAGAGCTCCATCTTACAGGCCCTGCAGAACTGTACAAGGTCCCGCAGGGCCCGGATCTCCTCCGAGAGCTCATTCCACCAGGTAGGAGCCGAGAAAGCCCTGGCCTCTTTGGGACCTGGCATTGCCAGGAGGTGTTGCATCCCAGACCGTAGGGCTTATGGGGGAACATATGCGGAAAGGCGGTCCCTTAGGTTAGCTGGACCCAGACCATATAGGGCTTTAAAGGTAAGAACCAGCACTTTGAAGCGAATCCGGTACGCTATTGGCCGCCAGTGCAGTGCTTTCAGTGCAGGCTGGATGTGGTCCCTACTAGGAAGACCCATCAACAGCCTGGCCGTAGCATTCTGCACTAGCTGCAGTTTCCGGATTTGCGACAAAGGCAGCCCCATGTAGAAAGTGTTGCAGTAGTCTAGCCTCGTGGTGACCGTCGCGTGGATCACTGTTGCCAAGTCACTGCATTCGAGGAAGGGAACCAACTGCCGCACCAGCCACAGATGGTAAAAAGCTGACTTGGCAGTGGCTGCCACCTGGGCCTCCATAGATAGCGAGGAGTCCAGGAGCACTCCCAAACTCCTAACCTCCGGCGCTGGCACCAAAGGCACCCCATCGAAAGTCGGGAGAGGGAGCCCCAACCCCAGACCACCGCGACTCAAGCCCAGGACCTCCGTCTTCGCCGTATAAGGTGTAAAATAAATGAATATTCTCTGGTAGCTTCATTGAAGTGAATTAATATGCTAACTTCCAAGAATACAGCATAGCGTGCTTTTGGCAGTTTGGGGCAGTATTTTCTTTTCAATGAATACTTCTTTCTGGTGCTGTTTTACTTTCTTTTTTTTTAAGTGTGTGTGTTTTGCATCTTGACTCTTGAGTTCATATCAGTCCTGTCTTTCAGGTCAGTTTCTGCTAGAAGAATCGCGCTTAATAGAAGCAGCAGAGATGGCAAAGAAAGCAGCTGAGTTGGATAACACAGAGTTTGATGTGGTTTTCAATGCAGCCCACATGCTCAGGTTAGTCATTTGATTTGGTGTCTTAAAGCTGATTCACACATTCTAAAGTCCATTCATGACCACCATGAGGACTTTGGATAAGACATGTGCCTGGAGTTCCATGAGGGGAATTCCTAGGCACTTGGGGCTCAATTTGGATTGGGATGTTGACCTGCTTGAGTACCACTGAGCATATATTAGGGCAACCTTGACTGCATTTCTCAGGTCTCTTGAACAAGGGGCATCTCAGAAGGAAAAAAGAAGACACAAACCTCCCAAAAAGGTGTAGAAATTATTTATTTATTTGTTCATATGCTCTAAGTTGCTACACCTGATTTTTGAGCACCAGGATCAGACAATTCAATGTGGAACTCTTGAACAAATAAATAAGTATTGTTTCTAGCGCTTTTTGTGGTTGGCCTCTTTTTGTTTTTCTTGTAGTCTGAAGTCAGGCATTTTTCAGCCCATGCAAAAATATTGCTGAAAATATGTGAGTAGTTTTGGCTTGGTCATGGAAATGGACATTGGGATTTCTGCAAATTTGTGCAGTGTCTTTGCATTACTAAATCAGTTTAATAAGCTAAATGACCATCACTCTGAATCTGAAAATTCTTGGCGTAGACCTAGTAAAGTACAGAGAGGAAACAAACCCTGGTGTATTTCTTGCAAGAATAACTACCACTTTTGGGAGAATGGTTTCAGCTAGTTTGTAAAAGAAGCATATTGAAATTCAAGAACCATAAAGTTTAATTGTGAGATTAATACATCTTACACTTGAATTTGTATCAGTTGTTAGGAACGTCCTATGGATCTACTTTTATAATTGTCTAAAAAGTCAAGTGGAAGTTCAGAATGTAAATTAACTTCAAAAATCTGCATATTGAAAGGGAGTCGCATGAATTGTTTAATGTTTAGATGGGATTATTTATACCTAATTAAAATATATTACTATTAATTCTTATTAATGGTCAGAACATATAATTTGTTATTATTTTTCTGTGGACTGTGTTCTCGATGAGAATTCAACTGTACAATTTGTTTTTCTCTCTTACAATAGACAAGCTAGCCTCAATGAAGCAGCTGAGAAGTACTATAAAATGGCAGCAGAACTGAGACCTAATGTAAGTACTTTTCCTGGAGATATTCACAAGTCAAAGTGATGTGCTCATATTACATCCTCCAGCTGCCCCTTTTTACCAGGTCCTGTTTACTGATCCATGCCCTTGGTAAATCACTGTCCCTAATTTTGCTTTTTACTGTGAGTTACTAGAATGGTCATTTCAGTTTCTTCCTCTAAATCCATCAAAAATTAACAGTGCAATCCTATGAGGAGGTACTCCGGTCAAAGCACACTGCATAGGATTGCACTAACACTTTGATGAGGGAACGGATATATCATTCTTATCTCTAGTGATCATGTTGGTAAACGTGTGAACAGTAAAGCAGCAGGTAGTGCCAGTCTACTATTTTATTGCAGGTGCTCAAGTAATTTTGAACTGTTGATAATATATTGTAGGACAGTTATGTTTTTCAAGTATATCTGTAGGCAAAGGAGCATAACCATTTTGTTAATCAGTGCAATGTGGGTTGGTTTTTAGAGTAAACCAGCACAGCAAGTGGTGTAGAGTATCTAATAGTTGGACTCATGAAGTGATCCTTGATATGAAAACAAGGGTATTTAAAAGCTTGCCTGCTGTCACATGTGAAATGTTGAATGGTATGCGATAGTTGCAAAAATATGCCTTTCCTGGCTTATTAAAGCTGGCCACGAGGGGTTTCGAGGTGCCCTTAGGAATATTATCAACAAGTCTCTCTCTGAGAGGCTGTTCCCAGGGGCACTCAAGGAAGTGATGGTTCACCCTCTCTTAAAAAAACCCATCCCTGGACCTGGCTGAATTGGCCAGTTTCCCATTTTCCCTATTTGGCCAAATTAATTGAGAGGGCGGTGGCGATACAGTTGCAAGGCTTTATGGATGACACTTCCATGTTAGATCCTTACCAGTCTGGCTTTCGCCCTGGATATGGAACGGAGACAGCTTTGGTCACTCTCACAGATGACCTCCGGAGGCAGCTGGATCGGGGCAGATCGACGGTACTGTTGCTGTTGGACCTGTCGGCTGTGTTTGACACGGTCAACCATCAGTTACTGGTCCACCGCCTCACTGACATGGGAATACAGGGGCCTGCCTTGCAATGGCTTGCTTCCCTTCTCCAAGGTCGGGGACAAAGGGTGCTGCTAGGGGAGCAGCAGTCCAAGAGGCACCCACTGGACTGTGGAGTGCCTCAAGGGGCTGTGCTTTCCCCGATGCTATTTAACATCTATATGCACCCCCTTGCCCAGATTGCCCGAAGGCATGGGCTGGGATGTCACCAGTATGCTGATGACATCCGGCTCTATCTGATGTTGGGCGGCTGGTCAGACTCCAGACCGGAAGATCTGGACTAGGCGCTACAAGCCGTGGCTGGTTGGCTTAGGCTGAGTCAGCTGAAGTTGAATCCGACGAAGACGGAGGTCCTGTGCTTGAGTTGGGGTGGTTCAGGGGTGGGAATCCCACTCCTGACCTTCGACGGGGAACCACTGATGCTGGCACTGGAGGTTAGGAGTTTGGGAGTGCTCCTGGATACCTCCTTAACAATGGAGGCCCAGGTAGCAGCCACTGCCAGGTCGGCCTTTTACCATCTGCAGCTGGTCAGGCAGTTGGCTCCCTTCCTGGACTACAACGACTTGGCTACAGTGATCCATGGGATGGTCACCTTGAGATTGGAGTGCTGTAATGCTCTCTACATGGGGGTGCCCTTGTCACAAATTTGGAAGTTGCAGCTAGTGCAGAATATAGTGGCTAGGCTGTTGATGGGCCTCCCTAGGTGGGAACACATCCAGCCTGTGTTGAGGACACTGCACTGGCTGCCAATAGCATACCGAATTTGCTTCAAGGTGCTGGTATTTACCTATAAATACCTATATGGCCAGGGTCTGATGTACCTAAGGGACTGCCTTTCCCCATACATACCCCAGAGAGCACTACAGTCAGGGTCTCAAAATCGATTGACCCTCCCTGGTCTTAAGGACGCCAGGCTCGCTACCACCAGGGCCAGAACCTTCTCAGTGGTGGCTCCATATTGGTAGAATGAGCTCCCAGAAGATATCAGGGCCCTGCAGGACCTTGCACAGTTCCGCAGGACCTGCAAGACGGAGCTCTTTCACCAGGCTTTTAACTAGGAGCCACCCCCACTATCACCACCAACTCTCGACTGCAATGGCCAGCCTGTGTGAAGAACATCGAGAAACTGGAAAGCTTACAAAAAGTACATTGTACAATTAGCGAAACATTGACAGCACTTATTACTTGTTACTATTATTATTGAATTTGAATTGTTTTATGTTGATTTTATCAGATTTTAATTGTTATCTATATTATTTATTATGTAATATGTTTTAATGAATTTAAGCCGCCCTGAGCCTGCTTTGCTGAATAATAATAAGCTGAATAATAAAATAAATAAAAAATGTAGTAGTATAAGGACAGACTAGAGTATTCGATCAGTGAGTGTGTGTTGGCAAGGTTCGTGTTTTTCAAACAATCCAATATAAGGAATCTCAAATTCAGAATGGCTACAAATAGCTCTCGTGTTAACCACTAGTTCCTTTTCAACACGAGAGCTATTTGTAGCCATTCTGAATTTGAGATTCCTTATATTGGATTGTTTGATAAACACAGCAAAACAGAATTTTGATAAAGACCTCGAAACGAACTCTGGAAACTCGAGATGTTCGTCATCATCTTCTGACCTGTTGATTAAAAGCAGAATTTTGGGATTTAAACATCATGAAAATTTCTGTCATTTTTCTGTAAATTTGTGAACTAACTGCAGCAATTCCTTTATTTTGGCAAGGTTCATGTAACAGGTAACATATACATTACTAACAGTCTGAACAACCTTGCATTTACCAGGCACATCATTATACAGTATTTTAGAAATGTGTGTGTGTGTTTGTATTCATCTTTGTATGTGTGTTTTCTTTTTCTGTGTTTAAGTAAAGTTTGGGCCTAGGGAAATACTAACAGTTAATAAGGGAAGCAAAAACCTTCTCTATGTTGTTGAAGGCTTTCACGGCCGGAGTTCATTAGTTGTTGTAGATTTTCCGGGCTGTATGGCTGTGGTCTTGGCATTGCAGGACCTGACATTTCACCAGCAGCTGTGACTGGCATCCTCAGAGGTATAACACAGAAAGATGGAGTACTCTCTGTGTCACGGTGAGAAGAAAAATGGTAGGCAGGTAATTTGTATCTACTCAGGAAGGTGGGGTAGGGCTGAGTCATTATCTTGTAGGAGTTCCCCAGACTTTGACGTGCTAATGGAGGAGCTTTCCTGAGGAGGTTCTTTTGCATATTGTCACGATTGCCCTGGCTGGCGGGCTGGGCAAGGCACAGACTATCCAATAAACACAGACAGAGGTCAGGGCACCAGAGAGGCAGAGAAACAAAACACAGTCCAAGATATCAGGTTACCGGAGCTTTGCAGTCAGAGGTGTAAAGCCGAGCTGTTGTCCAGAGTCCGCTTACAAATTCCAGGGTCAAGGAGCCAGAAGACGATGTCACGCAGTCCATAGTCAATAACCGAGAGATTCAAACAGAGAGTCAGGAAAACCAGATGCACGGTCCGAGGTGCCGCGATGTAATCATGTGATCAGTTGCCAGCACGAGGTAGGTAGTGAAGAGGGCTTCCTTAAAGCCCGTTCCCTCTGTTCTTAATTGCTGGCTGATTATGGAGTCCTGGCTCCAGTTAATACTCTGGACTCAGAGGACGCCTACCACGCATGCATGCTTCCCTGTGCCGGGTTGTCAAATCCTGTCTCCTTTGGTCTCGTAAACGAGCTACAGGTGGAGGGGAATCAGGGAGTGTGGAACTTGTGCTCGGCTTTGCAGGAGTGGCTCCAGGTGTGAACCCTTCTGGCAGAGTGTGTTCATCCTCTGCAAAACTTACATCTAGGGGTGCAGGGAGCTTTTCCTTGGATGTGGAAGGTGCAGAGTCCCCAGGATCAGGGTCCACTGGGTCGGGCGGCATGGTGGGCATGACACATATGGATTGGCTGTTGAAATTCTAATCTTATCTGTAGTGCTATTGTAAGATGTAGAGCATTTTATGTTTTTCAGGACAGGAAACCATGCCCTATTTATTTTATACTCTCTTCTTTCCTTTGAAATTGTGTTTATGTTTATGAATTTCAATGGCTTCCCTGTGAAATCTGACATGGTAAGTGGATATGCTGTCCAGGATTCAGTGTCTTGGAATAAGATACTGTGTCCTGTTTGAGTTAGGCTATGTTCAGCCACTGCTGATTTTTCAGGTTGGCCCAGTCTGCAGTGTCTTTCATGTTCTTTTATTCTTGTCTGAATGCTATGCTGTGTGGTCCTGATGTAAACCTGTCCACAACAGCAGGGTATGCGGTATATTCCTGCAGAAGTGAGGGGGTCTCTTCTGTCTTTTGCTGATTGTAGCATCTGTTGTATTTTTCTGGTGAGTACTCCATCTTCTTGTGTTATACCTCTGAGGATGTCAGTCACAGCTGCTGGCAAAATGTCAGGTCCTACAATGCCAAGAACACGGCCATACAGCCCGGAAAATCTACAACAACTAAAAAACTTCTCTCCCTGATCTAAAATGTCTATTTCACTCCATTGGCCTTCAGATATTCGAATGTTCAATTAATCTGAACTAGCATGATCTATTACAGCTAGTGTAATTCCTCAGAACTTCTTTTTTATCAAATACTTAATACTGACTTGCTGGAACACAAATGCATGGATGTTATAGTTTGTCAACAGGAGACCTTAAAGATAGTGTAGGTGATGTACAGCGCAAACCTATGTAAGAGTTACTAAAGTCTAAACCCATTGAAATGAATGGACAGACTGGAATAATTCAGCATAAATTGTACTGCTTTAAGCATACACCTATAATATACATTAGAAATGCAGCAAACAAAATTTTGCAAACCCTAGTCCTAAGTTTACACTTGGTAGAAAGTCTAAATTTGTCTCTGTGTGGTACACCCCAAACTGAAAACTGTAGCTAATTCCTTCTACATATTGGCTTCATTAGAAAAGAGCAAGAGTCC